CCACCGAACACGTATTGGATGTTCGAACTTTCCAAGCGACCTGAAAAATGATGTAGCTTCAGGGTTCCTGCTCAAAACGTGGCTAAACGTTTCAATAAATTGCAATACACCCTGATAACGTCTAAATATTTCCTCAGACATGTTATGCAGGATGTGCGCAAAGCAGGTGACGTGCAGACAGTTGATGTAATGGCCCGAGAACAACCGACACCAACGGATGTTGTAGGAGGCACCATCAGTGATCAACAGGCAAAGCTGCTCATGTCGCAAGCCATACTCAGCAAATACCTGAAGTATTACGCTGTTTAGCATCTCTGCGCATGCCGAACCTGTGATAGCTCGTGATGCAATCAGAAATCGTTTATCAGGACGCATAATCAAACCACATATGACATTAAATATCTTATGTTTCTTCCTTTCAGTCTCATCTATTATTACATAGACCTGTTGGTTTGATATTTGCGTCCTGATAAGCGCTTTCTGATCAGTTGCAATATCAGCAACCATGCGCCTACAAACCGACTCACTGGGAGCTCCAACGGCCAGATCGTCAAACATACGTTTGATAGAATCTATTCGAAGCTTGTAGAGAGGAATATCAGCTTCTAGAAAACCTTTCGTAACAGTTTTCGCGACCAACCNTGCGCCTACAAACCGACTCACTGGGAGCTCCAACGGCCAGATCGTCAAACATACGTTTGATAGAATCTATTCGAAGCTTGTAGAGAGGAATATCAGCTTCTAGAAAACCTTTCGTAACAGTTTTCGCGACCAACCTATCGTTTTGATAAGTTTTTGTAGATAACACATTGAGTCTAGTACATAAAACATTATTTTTATGTAATATTGACCCAATGTGTCGCCTGACATCCCTTGATGTAAGGGATTTGATGTCAGTTCTACACGCACAGCAAAACAGAAATCTGTTTAATACCGAAAAAGCGTTTCTGGTTCTAAACTGACCAATTCAGCTATCTTTGCAACCTTACTTTTTTTTGATTGTCCCATTTAGTATAAAATTCAAGGTTTTTTAACATGTAATGGAGAATGACAAAAAGCGAGAAGTAAACAAATAAAATATTTAAAATGCCATGTTGGTTAACCCCTAAAATTAATATACAGACATTCGACAACAAACAAACAATATTTACTCATGTTTCGGAGGAGTAAAAAACGCACAATTTCTGGGTTGCCCTACTCACGAGTCTCCTTCTCCCCCCACACGTCTCACACTCTCCCTCGTCCACTGAGTATCGGCCTGGCCTAGGACACTCACATTCGAATATCTTTGCATTTGCGTATCCCAGCTTTATGGTGATGTTTCTCTCCAACTCACTCTTGTGCTTGATTGTGTTTGTTCCTGATATCGCCCTCACCACTGTCGTCTTCCCATGGGCTACGTGTCCCACTGTTCCTATGTTTATTGTTGCCTGCTTTTGCATGGCCACCTCCAACCTTGGGTCTTCTGACATTATTGGGTAGAATTTTTACAAAAGNCTCACGAGTCTCCTTCTCCCCCCACACGTCTCACACTCTCCCTCGTCCACTGAGTATCGGCCTGGCCTAGGACACTCACATTCGAATATCTTTGCATTTGCGTATCCCAGCTTTATGGTGATGTTTCTCTCCAACTCACTCTTGTGCTTGATTGTGTTTGTTCCTGATATCGCCCTCACCACTGTCGTCTTCCCATGGGCTACGTGTCCCACTGTTCCTATGTTTATTGTTGCCTGCTTTTGCATGGCCACCTCCAACCTTGGGTCTTCTGACATTATTGGGTAGAATTTTTACAAAAGTGATATTGTGGTAGAATAGGCTGAATCATCCCATACAACCGTAATAATGCCAATTTCTACTCCTTCCTACTCTCATTCTCGTACCTGCTGAATACCACCATTAGTTGACTCTCTAGTTCCAATGCATCCTCGTAGTTTACGTATTTCATATTCATTCTGGTGCTTCCTCTTGTTCCAATTAGTCCCCTGATGTACTCCATGCTCTCCTTCAGTGGCATCCCATTCTTCCTACACATCTCCTCCATCTTCCTCCTGGTGACTCCTCCATCTTCCTCCTGCCAGTATCTCCCTCTCCAGTCTCCTCTTCCGCCTCTCTTTCAGAATGAAACCCCTCTTCATCTGGGACACTCTTCAACCAATTTCATTTGCTGCCTTTCTATTTGCTGCCTTCTTTCACTTTTCACTTTTTACCATTTTTACTCCTTTATGAGTGAAATAGCAGTTGATGAGACTACGACTGGTATCGTAGTTGATACTAAGAAGGATAATGGAGATAATGAGAAGGATAATGGTGACAATGAGAAGGATAATGGTGATGTACCAGTGGTAGATGAGATATCTCCAATTCCATGTAAACTCTCAACTCAAGAGCACCTGAATATCTGGATATACAGGCTGAAAATGAAGATAATCATCGCATTCACAGTGGTCGTCCTCCTTCTGGCCCTCTTCATCCCACTGCTTCTCAATTCCAGGGCCAAGGCAGCCGCACCAAAGAGGTTCAAGGAGAAGCTCTACTGCGAGGACATCCTGCAGCAGATGTTCAAGGAGGATGCCTCGTTCACGTTTGAGCCAAAGATGGGCGACTACTTCAAGACCACGAAGTACTTCGGAAAGAGCAAGCTTCTGAATGGATTCGTGGACGAACTCATTCTCAAGACGCACCTGTGCATGACAAAGACACAAGACGACTGTAAACACTACTTCAGGGCAGAAGACATGCACTCGTTCTTCCTGGGGCCATCTGGAACAGGAAAGACGCAATTTATCAAGCGAGTTGCATTTGACCTGGACGTGCGACTGAAGCTGATTCACAGGGCAGTGAGCAGCGGCCAGGCCCACGACAGTGTCGGCGAGACCGACTACTTCAAGCTGCCTCTCGACGAGAGAAGGGCACTCGATGCGATGCCATCGCGTGTCCGCTACTTCGCAATCACGCCTTCTGAACTCATGGACAAGTATATTGGAAATAGTGAGGCACTTCTGAAGGCACTCTTTGACAGGGCCATGGAGCAGAATGGGGCCTATACGGCCACCATCGTCCTCTTTGACGAGGCAGAGGCGATATTTCCGAAACGAAGTGACAGCGACAACGGCTTCTCCATCAAGAACAGCCTTCTTTCTGAGTTTCTGTCTCAGTTCAACCGTCTCAATGATACAATATGGCCAGTCTTTCTGGTAGCAATCACAAACCAGTGGCTTCGAATTGACTCGGCCATAAAGAGGAGATTCTTCAACCACACGCACTTCAAGATGCCTACGGTTGACGAGTTGACTGCCATTCTGGAGAATATGGTCGATTCCAAGTTGTATACAGGTGCTCAAAAGCAAGCTATTATCAATTTATGCAAGGAAAATGTGTCCCATTCTACGATGGTAGGAAAGTTGTCTGAGAATACGGTACGAGACAACGATGGAAATGTGACTGGATTCGATTTTACTGGATTCACCAATGCGATTACAGCAAATAAGGAGGCAACTGCACTGGAAGATGAAGAGGAGTGCTACTCCGACGAAGATGAGGAGGCAGCTGAGGCTGGTGGTGGACAGAGTTAACAATGTTGCTATTTATGAGATTATTGACTAGTCTAAGTAACTACCCCTATTAGTGGAATATTTTCGTACTTATTACACCCTTATTAATGGCAATGGTTGTTATAGTTGGTGACACGCCTGCTGCGGCAGTATGTGCGATCTACTTGAAGACAGCAAATATTGAAACAGTTCTACTACGAAGCAAATCAGGATACGAATACACCTGTACAGCAGTAGCATGCGTAGATGACTTGGACAACTTCACCAGTAACACGTTCAAACAAGTTGAATACCTGGGAGTGCCAGTGATGGAGGAGACTGTTGCATCAATTACCAAAAAAGACGATCATTTTCTAATTAAAACAGGTGAGACTGAACATGTGGCAACTGTGGTAGTTAGTGAGACTGACCTATTTGGGTTATCAGGGACAGCAAACTACCACGTCATTCTTGGGGGAGAGAAGAAGAGTGAGGCCATTCTTCTGGCTGCAGAAGGGTGTAAGACAGCATTCAGAATCAAGGAATCACTGTGATTCATTGGATAAGATTAAATTTAGAATAGGAGTTGAATGCCATTTTTAATCAAGTACTGTTCATTGGATGACATGTCTGAGACACTCCTTCTTTTAATTTGGTATTTTAATTTTCTATTATTTATTAATTTTTGATCACCCATATATGTTTGTTATTCCACTGATATTGTTGGAATTGGGAACAATATTCTGTGCAGGAAGGGGCAGAGGTGCCAATAGAGGTGCTGCTAATCAAGCAACACGAAAGAGTAGAAGAGTAAGTGCTAGACATCAAACTGGTGCTGAAAGTGGAGAATCAGAAAGTGCATCAGTAGAAGCAGCACCACCAGCAGCACCAGTAGTAGAAGAAGAAGAAGCAGCAGCAGCAGCAATACCAGTACCAGTACCAGTAGAAGGAACACCTACACCAGCCCCAGAAGTAGTTGCAGTAATAGGATCAGTCACTTCACCAGTTCAAACATCAGCTAGTATGCCAGGACGAATTACGAGATCAGTGGCTGGTGGAGAAGAGGAAGAAGAAGTACAGAAATCAGGTGAAGTACAGAAATCAGGAAGTGCTGAAGTGGAATCAGCTGAAGATGGAACAAGAAAATCACTTGAAGAAACAGAAGAAGGAGCAGTAAAAAAAGATGAAGAGGAAGAGGAAGATGAAGGATTGTTGGGATCAGATGAAACAGGAGATCAGCTTCAAGCATCTGAATTAGTAGATTTGAGTGGAGTTGAACCTGGATCAGGTAGATATTCTCCTATTGCTAAATCTGCATCACCTGATGCAGCCGAACAAAGTCAGGATGAAGATGAAGATGGTGAAGATGTTGTTAAGCAGACAGGAGGAATAAAGAAAGCGGTGGTTGCAGAGGATGAAGATGAAGAAGAAGATTTGTCACTATCACCTCTAGCTGCCAGTACACCATTAATGACTGGGAAGACAAAAGGAAAAAGGAGATTGGTGCTACAAGTTGAAGAAGTACATGAAGATGGTGAAGCTCATTCATCGCCAGTTAGTATTAAAAAAGGTAGGGGTGGAAAAAAGAAATCAAAGAAAACGGGATATAAGCCAAAAAAAGATTCAGACAAAGAAGAAGGTGCACCTGCTACACCAAGAAGAAGCATTAGAAAAAGAAGGTCACCAAAACCAGCGAAAGTGTCAGATCTGAAAGCATATACCTCATTATCTGAAGAAGTAGAGAAATCCAAGTCATCAGAATCAACAGAAAAGGTATCAACACCGCAAGCATCAGAATTAACAGAAGAAGAAGAAAAATCTGAACCAGCACATGCATCTGGTGAATCGCTAAAACCAGCACATGGAAAACCAGAAGGCGACCCTCTCGAACTGGAAATGCTAAGATACGGTAGTGATGTACTCGTATTTCCATCATTGTTATTTGTCAAGGAAAAGAGTGTGACTAGGATGTCATTTGAAGTACTCGATGAGAGTGAGAACGTAAAAAGCAAAATTATGATATTCAACAGGGCTAAAACTAATACGGAATCACACATTAATAACTACTACAGTCTGCCATTCGATTGGTGCAAAAAGGTAACAGAGGTTCCTGATAGTGTGNAACCAGCACATGCATCTGGTGAATCGCTAAAACCAGCACATGGAAAACCAGAAGGCGACCCTCTCGAACTGGAAATGCTAAGATACGGTAGTGATGTACTCGTATTTCCATCATTGTTATTTGTCAAGGAAAAGAGTGTGACTAGGATGTCATTTGAAGTACTCGATGAGAGTGAGAACGTAAAAAGCAAAATTATGATATTCAACAGGGCTAAAACTAATACGGAATCACACATTAATAACTACTACAGTCTGCCATTCGATTGGTGCAAAAAGGTAACAGAGGTTCCTGATAGTGTGTCAGCGTATTTGGAAGGTGATGGATTTGATGAAGAGATGCACAAAGCAGCAATTGATACGTTGGAAGAAAATAAGGGTAAATTTATCACAAGGGTACCAAAATACCTGTGGCTTGGAATGGTAAAGGGAATTGGATCACAGAAGGCAGAGACAGAGGCAACACCAGAGCAGAAGAAGTTGCGCGTGAATGAGGTAATTCGTGAGCTACCTCTTTACATGAGACTGGAGCCACTAAAGGATACGTTGGAAGGTGATATGGCTTTTACTGGACGAATTATTGTGGTAGTGAAAAGTAAGAAAATGTGTACGAAAATAGTACACTTTGATAAGGTTGGTGATGTGATTACAGTAGAAAGCACGCTGGATGAATACAAGTACAAAGTGACTGGGCGACCTATTACAGAGCCAAAGACTCCTATTGAACCACTAAAGCCAAAAACTGAGCCAGAAGCAAAGCCAAAAGACGAGGACAAGTCAAAGGATTCCAAGAAGAAGCCATGGATCATTGCGGCCTTCGTGGTGCTGACTCTCGTAGTGTTGGTTGGTGTTGGAATAGCTTTGGTGCTATTGAAGAAGAACAAGACAAATTCGCTGAAATAAATGACTTGAATTATCAGTTTAGATCTGTTCATAGTCAATAGGTGTTGTGTTTGTACCTGACTGGTATGGTGTACTCCTAAGATCACGGTATCCTGTACTCAAATAAAGAATAACAATTTACTTAGTAAGGAGTCATTTTTTAATGGTGTCATCTTTTAAAGGGTTATTTTCAACATCAGTAAGACATAAAATGGTACAGAAACACCCAACTACATACGAGCATGATCTCATTTTAAATTACAACTTTATTTAAAAAAATTTAATCTTTGATGTTTTTTTTAATCCCATGAATTTTAATACACGTTTGCTTTTACAGACTGTGATGCTGAACATGGCAGCTGCAGCTGTAACTAACATTCAGGAAGCATTCGATGCCGCTGCAGGGACTGAGATCACTGATTTCAAAGTAAGTGACAGATATTGGCTTGTGATGGAGAATAAGACAGTTGGTGATGTTGAAATCACGGGTATGAAGGTGGTATACGCAGGAGACAAGACTTCTAAACCAACTACAGAACCAATACAGGCCAAAAAAAGACAGAATCCACGTAATTTGATCAATGGGACGATAGCTATGCTAAGTGGTAAGAAAGACGGCCTAGCGAATGGTGTTACAGATGAAATGCACAATTTCATGCTTGGAACAGTACCAACAGATGAATTTGATGTGAAACGAACTGAGTTGCTTGAGCAAATCAAGAAACAGAATGACGACATCGTCTGGATTCTGCTGGGTGCCATTCTACAGATTCATTAGGAAGTTTAATGTGGCAGAATACGTGCAAGGTGTGATGGTACAAAAGCGACCTGAGATCGTAGACTCAATGAAGGGCGTTCCCAGCTTCTTTGATATCATGGAGATATTAAAGAACCCAATCAGTAAGCAAGAGGAGCGGCAAGTGCTGTACTTCTTTCTCACATTCAAGGACAACGAGGTAGAATACAAGACTCCTATCATCGAGTTGTTGCCTGAGGATGATGGCTTCAGAATGGATGGATTTGTGAATGTTGCTGCGCCTGTCTTCGTGGATAAGACACCAATTCCAACACCAAAGCCAAAGCCAACACCAAAGCCAAAAACTG